CTACATATTACCTAAATCATGAAATTAACAACCCATTTTGTTAGGTTCTTTATTTGTGAATTTTGATACAATGATGACAAAGATGTTTATAAAAGCATTTTATGACACTAGGATATAGCTACATTTTACTTAAATTGAAAATAAATTTTAATGAGTTAAGAGGCTGGTCCCATCAAGTTAGCCATATGTTGTGTATTATCAATGATTTTGACAAAAGGTGGTAAGATGATATCTTGAGCGGTTGCATATCCAGGACTCCTGACACAAATAGACGCATCACAATTTCCATGTAGATTACTTCTCAATACAATTTCTTTTAAATTTATTAAAATATCAAGACTGGAGGTCGGGAGCTATCAACCACTCAGTCATCTCTTTTTTTATTCCTCCGAATGGAACATGGCCATTTCAATGGATAATCACCACTATCTATCGAAAGAGCTCAAGTGTGAATATACTGGGCGATCTATCTATCCATATATATATATAGATATACCCTCTTGATTAGAAACCTAAGCCTCATATGTTTTTACTTTATAGCAGTTGTCAAGTTTTCACTAACCCATTGGTTTTTCTAAGGGTTGGCGATTTCAAGTGAATGTTGCTAGTTATTAGCTAATCACTTGTTTGTTTGATCACATTTATTCTATGAAATGTCTTTCCATGGAGACCAATGATTTCTTGAAATAAAATTTGGCAGAAATAACAAGTATTTGATTTTATTGTCAAATTAGGAGTGCATCGAGATCTCTAGATCGGTTTAGTCTGTTTTGACCTCAATTTAGCTTCATGGTATACCATGCACTGAATTTACTGCAGGAAAATGAGTGGTTAGTCAAATTTATGTATACTATATGGGGAGGTAGTACTTAAAAGTCTCTCTTTTAGCTGGAAACTCTCTTTATAACAAATCGGCATCTATCACGAAATTGAACCTTTTCCACAATCTAAGAATTATGTAATGAGGTCGAGGAAATCATACTGGAAGTCAAAGGAAAACTTTAAACCCTCCCCTTGGTTGCTAAATAGTGCCCTCCTTGAGTAGGTTTGATTTCATGTTGCATCTTCAATGGAGAATAGGAGTTGATTAGTTGTTATTGTGAAGAAATGGGCGTTAAAGGTTGATTGAATCAAGGCTTCAGCAATGTGGTATTGATTTCATTTTGCTTATGATCTATTTGTATGCTAAATTTACACAATAAGAGGAACAGGTAGTAGTCATTGTGCTTGCCATAAGAAAAACAGCTGAGTATAAATGCTTTTCAAGAATAGCATGATAAATGGTTTCTAGTAAGTCTTTCTGATGCTGGATGTGTAGAGTCAAGGCTTCTGTCTGCAGATAATGGTTCCCTGAGGACCACTGTTAAATTGTGTTGTTTTGAGGCCCTCTATTGTAGTAGTTAATGCTAAAGTTGGCATGGTATATTGATTGTTTTCAATTTGTGTTTACAATGCTTGTTTTGTTCTGTGTAGGGGTTTTTTTTTCCATTCGTTGTGCCTCCTCCTATGCAAATCGCTATCATTCTATCAATAAAATCCAGTTCATTTGCTGGAAAAAAAGAAAGATAACACGATGCATAGATTTAGTTCGGGCCAAAGCTGTCAAAGTGGGGAAAGCATGGTTTTATATTAGACATAATTGACTGGCCCGCAGTCTTCTCGTGTACAAATCTACCCGTAGCATAGATTTGATCGATCACCACATTTCTATCCATTAAGTAGGTTTTTCCTCTATAATCATGAAATTTGAAATCCTAGAAGAATAATAAGGTAGGACATTGAGAGCTTACTTTGTAGGGCTGAACAAGGGGATAGCACAACCTTGCCTGGTCTTCACAGCCGCTATTGATCTTTAAACTGGAAGATCAATTGAACTCTGTAGAAGCATCGACCGAATCCCAATCGAAGGCTGATCGATCAACGTCGCTTGGATCTGCAAATTTCTCTAGGGTTTCGTGCCCACTCTATAAATAGGTCCATATGCATGGCAGACTTGAGGTTTTCTGTATTTTGTGGAGGCTTCTCTTAGTCTTATTTGGTGTGAAAGTAGTGGAAACGAGCATTTTGCAATTGCTATTTGCACAGAATTTGCGAGAGACATTTGAGTTCTCAAGCCAGGTAGTGGAAAGCAACTCAAGCGAGTCGGTATCAAGTCAGGAATGCTGTCATTTTTGGTCAGGAAGTATGGTTGTTCTTCCCATTTTTGAGAGTTGTAGAATTGTACTCATGCAAATTACCTTGTAGCCTAGTTGGATTCTCTTAAGACGAAAGCACAAAACATTGGATTCGAATTCTCGTTGTTGATGTTTTAACTCTTGATTTAGTATCTCTACTGACATAACTGTTACATTCAAAAAATTCAAGATCCTTTGAAATCAAAGCTGTTTGTCATGAGGTAGCATATATCTACTAATGAGTCGAATTGTTGAGTCTTCGACGATAGATCGAGTACAAAGCATACCCGAAAACTGGACAATCACCCTTTTGCATGATGTTTTTTTTTTACTATAGAATGTCTAGATTTGTGTCAATTACTCTTTCAAGTTCAAATACTAGCCACTATAGCCCGAGCGAGTTTTAGAACATGTTCCTTGAGAAACAAGGATAACTGACTCTTAGGGATATGAGAAGTGATGAAGTTGAGATATCTGAGTTACCAAATGCCAGACTCGGTCCTTGTTTCAATTTCATATACGAAACCTTGGTGTTGGCTTTGGGAGAGTTTCATAAATACAATATAATCCTTCCTATAAAAACCATCCAAATGGAGAGAGATATTCTAGGTTGCTGGTTGGAATGGATGTATACAAATATGTGATATTTGAATTCCTGACTTGCTCACTTTTTTAATACGCTTGTCAAGGTAATTGAGCTATCACTAGACTAATTGATGATGAACAAATCGATATTGTGCAAGATCAACAGTCGAGTATTTGTAAGAGTGTAATTAATGAGCAATAAACATGCAATCAATGACAAAACAATGAATAATAGCAGACACACAGATTTATAGTGGTTTGGTCTATGTGACATACTTTATTCTCGAGAACGGCAGCAGTGACCGAAGATCTTTATTGATAAATAGAAATCACCGAGAAAGTGTACTCCGGGTGAATTACAATACCTTGGGAGTGAGAGAGAGAGAGAGAGATGTGTGTGATGTAGAGGTCTCAAGGTCATAATGTGATGCCCTCTATGTGTAGAGGGCTTACATTATATAGACTTAGTAAGGCGGTGACGTGAGGGAGAGGACATTTGCTATTTTGATAAATACAAATATGATAAGATTAGATCTCTGACCATATCTCGATATTCTTTCTCTCGTGCTTTTATTCCATCGAAGAAAGATCCTGAATTGGGTTGGACTTGAGTTGGAGTGAGTTGGATTTGAGTTGGAGTGGCAAAGAGAAGAGGACGAAAGGGAGGTAGGAGGAACAACACCTTGGGGGTGCCAAAGGGCTTGGGTGACCCCTTGGGCGGCGCGGAGCCCCTTGATGACTTGGGCTTTTCTTTCAGGCTCCGATGATGTGGGCCTTTTTTAATTTATTGGGTCTGACCCATTTAATTTTGGATTCATCACTAATCTCATGGGTTTAAGAAAAAAACTAGGGGTAAAGGATTGTCAAATGTAAGGGATGCTCCCAATGTTTAAGGTAATCATAAGGTGGGTGGTTGAAGTTTTGTCTTTATATATTTGGAAGGTAGACATTTGAGGTTGTAGAGAAGGAAAAGAGGAAAACCCTAAAAAACAAATCTCAGGCTTCAAATTGGATGGTGCAAAAGGAGAGTGGGTTTGTTTGAAAGGTACCTCTGGACAATAGGAACAAGCTAACTAAAACGCTACTTTATTAAGGGTAGGTGGAACTTCTTCTAGAGGCACCGCCTTTTAATATACTTAACTGCCGTCCATGGTTTCATTATGTTGCCAAAAAATATTTTTTTAGTACTATACTTTCACTTTTTAAAACAAAATAATTGACTAAGAAACAACCATTAGATAACAGTTGTCTACCTAACCAATCCATTTCTTGAGTTCCAAATTACCCTCTTCAACTCGGATCTTTTGAGATTAAAAAAAAAACTCGGATTTTCATGCAGTTTTTTTTAAAATTTTAAAAGTTATCCTATAGAAGTTTTCTTTTTTCTTTTCCTTCCATTTTTAATGGGAAGCGATTGAGATTTGACAAACGTTTTTGATCAAATTTTTGTTAATGATAAATCATTCAAATGAATTTTATTATACATAAGTAATGAGATTAGAGGAAATATGGATACGAGATTTTAGATCTAATATCTACAAAACTAATTGAATTCATTAGATAACATTTGTAATGAAAGTGGGTCGTCAAATTGAAGAGTTGATCGACCTCTCAAACAACTAAATATTGGGTACAACGGTGATATAATATCCTCGTTAATATATGGGGTTGCTAATAACTAATAAAATAATATATATAATTGTTGGACCCTATTATTTCAAGTTTGCTACATGATATACGATATGGAGGGTATCGGCAATTACCAAAATAGTTGGGTCCACTAATTTCACATAGTATTTCATTTTTGATTGGTGTCATCATTACATCGAATAAATAATAATTTTAAACCAGAAAATTGTGGTGGTTGTTTTTTTTTCTTTTTTTTTTGTTGGGGGGGGGGGGGGGGGTTAGGGGTTAAAAATAGAACACATGCGAGAAAAATGAAGGGGAAACACAAAATTATGGATTGGACGGCATGACTTGTAGAGAAAGTCAATGCCGCCAAGTTGAAGTTGGCAGCGTTTTTGAAAAGAAGAAACTAACCAACCAAAGGGACGTTGGGTCCTCCGCCCGTAACTCTTTCTTCTCCTTTCAACTTCCACACGTTTGTGTTTGTATTTCATCTCTCTCTCTCTCTCTCTCCTCTTTGGGTATTCATAGTATGATAATGTGTGAGTCCAGAAAATGGTTTGTTTTGTAGTTTTGCATCCAGATATATAGTTTGATGATCTTCTGATAAATAGAGAGAGAGAGAGAGGAATGGAAAGTTCAGTTGGGGTTGGGCTCATGGCGGTTTGTGCCGTTTCAGGAAGTGTAGTCCTCCTTGCTCTTCAAGTTCATAAACGCATCCTCTCTGACTTCATGAAGAAGATTGAATTTGAATTGGGTAATATGATTCCTCTTCCTTTCTTGTTTATACTTTTGATTAATATTTTTGAAGCGGCTTGGTGGTTTTGGTTTCTTATGCCTCCTTGGTAGATTGGATTATATATGGACAGAGAGATAGGTATAAGAATTTTAAAAGACCGAGAAACGGGTAATTCAAGTGGTAATAAGGTCGATTGTAATTAGAGACGTTATGAGTTCGAATTTTAATAATTCTTTGAAGTTAGGTTGTGAAAAATTTTTTCTTCATGAATATTTTAGTTTCAGCGTGAATAATATGAATTTGACCGGGTTGGGGAGGTGATTAGTTACGGTACGAGTTACGCACAAATTTGCTTGGACACTCTTGTCTGTCGAACCGTCGAACAAAAAAAAAAGAAAAATATTGAAAGTCATGAACTTTGTTATTGCCTATGTTATAGGTGATTAATGGATAATATAGATATTTTACAATGAGAACACTAAACCCTTCATTTCCCTTATGCTCCTTTATACTATGTTTGGTATGATTAAAAAAAATAGAGGAATAGAAAATTGAAATGATAGATAAAACATCGTATTGGTAAAGAAGTAAAATTAGAAGAATGAAAAAGTGGGATGATTAGCCTTCATTCCAACTCATTAAAATGTATATTATTTACATTTATATCTTTTAATATATGCATATATCATATTTTTTTTAGAAACCATAGGGGGTGTCCCTAGAATTAGGCCAATCTCGAGGGGGTGCCAATGAAATTTACCCTTAATTTTATATATATATATACACGATGTTAAAATATGTTTTTTTGTAATTTTTCCTTCCACCCACTTTTTCATCCATACCAAACACACAAAAAAAAAGGCCAATATTTTCTCCTTTTCATTCCTCCTACCAAATATAAAGGAGGATGGAAAAGATTTCATCATTCCATCTATCCTACCAAACACACACCATTAATTAATAATATAGATATGGTACTACATGTATTTGAAGATGCAAATACTTTGCTTTTAAAAATAATAATCAAAGATATAATAAAATTATTGTTTCATTGAAAACTACTTTGAAAATAAATAGAAAACCATGGGAAAAAAATATTGCACCTAATTATGGAGTACATATTTGAATGAAAGGTCTTAATAGTCGCTCCATGTGAGATGGTACACTCTAGTTTCCATTGAATATTTAGTCCGGTTGTACTTAATTTGACGGCCTAATTTGATTATTTTATAGATTATGGCATTTGGATTGATAGTGAATTTCATTTGGTGCTCGTGAGATTTACAGTTAATATGATAATCACAATACGATTTAGGTTCCCATAGTATTGAATATACGTAACTAACCGTCATCCCTACAATGCGCATAACGCAGAAACGTGCCAAGTTAGAAAAGGAAATTCAAATGTGGGTAGGTATGCACCATTTATTTGGTAGTTATGGGAAGATAATAACAAATTTTTTTTTTTTTTTGAAAATAAATTCAAATAGGTGGTTACAAATAAATACACGAAAGAAGTAGTTTGTGGCCACATGGCAGGATTTGATTGTGATAAAATAATTCTAAGTTCTTTTAATTAGGTATTGTACGAGGGAATACTTCTCGATACGTTCACAAAGAATATTATTAATTTTGTTGGCTCGAATGGTTACTATGAGTACTTCTTAACTTTAATTCCTTTTTGAAAAAAATAAAATAATGCCTACAATAGAAGGACTAATCAATTATTTCTTTCATCGCATCTAACATGCTAATATTGGCACTAATGGTACGTAAATGTAACGAACAACTATTCAGAGTTCTTAAATCTCCTTGTAAGGCTTCTTGGAAAACCTGTTGTCTGACTTCTTTAATCGCCCTTTGTTGTTCAAAATGAATAGTTTCATTTTTGTAATTCTCTATTTGGTCCAAAGTCTTATAAGTTGAATTTATCAAATTCTATTTTTCTCGCTCTATCTCAGAGTATCCGTTCACTCGAAACAACCTAATTTAATTGTTTTATACATACAATATAGATTTCCTTCTCTCTTCCTGTTTTTCCCACTTAAGTATAGGTCACAAAATAGCATCTTATCTCATAGTTTGATGACTTCATGGCAGGGTCTGAGAAGGTTCAACCCAAGAAGAAGGTTAGGTTTGCCGAAGACGGGGTGGAGCTGTCGCCGGAGAACAAAGATTCCCGCAAGAAGTATGTGCCGGAGCATGGCCGGTCGAGCCGAGTTGCTGATGAAAAGTTGGATAACACCATGCCTCTTAATTGGCAAGTTATGTACAAAGGGATTTTGCAATATAGGGCACTTAAAGGGCACTGTTAGCGTCCCTTAAATGTTTGTTTCCAACATCTTTGTTCGGGTAGTGGTGGTGGAAGGTGAAAATCTAGGAACGTTAATACAGTGTTTGGATAGTTTCTAGGTTCCATGAATACATGCAAGTTCTTGTATAGCACCTTGTAATTGGAAGAAGTTGCAAAACCAGCAAATTCCCAGATTGTAATAAATAAACTTTATTTGTTTGTGTTTAATGAATTGAGAATTGAGAAATGTTCACATAAACTTAATGTGAATAAAGCTCATTATAATCCAAAGGGGTAGTTCAAGTAGACGAGTTGTAAGCTCAGATCTCCTAAATTCGAATTTTAGTAATTTATTGGTGTCAGGCTATGAGGAATTTTATCCATTATAAATATTCTAGTATTGGTGTAGATAGTCTGTCTTTTACTAGATCAGAGACAAGATTAGTTGAGGTATGCGTAAGTTAATTCGGGCACTCTTGACCATTGAACAGGAAAAAAAATAATAAAGCTTATTATAATTGGGAATAATCATGAATTTAAGTCACCATACAAGGAGAGCAAGTTTGGGCTGATTTTTTTAGGGTTGACATATAGTTTGTCAATGATACGAAACAAATACAAAATTAATTATGTATGGGTTTAGTCTTAACTAGCCCAAATCATATCAAAATTGATCCACAGTAAATATAATTGACATGAACCAAACTATACACGACACGAATTCGACCTTTCACGACTCATGCACAACACGATCATTAATGGATCGTGTCTAAATTGAGCCAATTTTTTAGTACGATGGGACTTTGATACAAACCATTGCCAATACTAGGTTTTATGATCTCTACACAAGGGAAATTAATTAAAAAAACTGCGAGGTGGTTTAGAGAAGAAAGGTATTGCAAAAGGGAGATCCTATCTCCAATAATGGCAGAATTAAATCAAGAAAGCATCAACAATAACTGTAAGCATGAACATTAAAATCACAGAAAGATAATCAAATTATCCAAACAAACAAGCTTATCAAGGAAGAACGTATGGACTGTTTACCTGTGATGAGTCTAACTCTAAATGGTTCAGGGATTCTAGATAAGCGTGTGGGAGAAATGGAGGAATATAGAAGTTGTATTGCATAGACCAACTCAATGAGAGAGAGAGAGAGAGAGGCATAAGTCAATTCTGTACCAAGGGGTTTTAGAAATAGAAAAGTTACGGAAGGTAAATATATTCATAAGAAAAAAAAAACGGAGGTGTTGCTCACATGACAATACATCCACCCAATATAAAAGTAGAACCAAAAGATTTACAACAACCAAGAGTGTAGAATTCTAAAGAAAGTGCCAGCCTTGAGCTGGTACTTCCAGCAGAATCCAGACTCAAAGGAGACAAAGAAAGCAAAGAGGCTTCCATCAACATGGACTGCACATTCAAAAACAGAGGAAAAAACAAACTGGGCATTGTCTACAGCCGAATGGAAAGCCCAATGCCAACATACATGCCAACAGCAAAGTGGGAGAACAAATGGATGAAGGAGCCAGAAGAACCTTTCATGCTCTTAGGATGAACTCCTCAAAACAGAGCAAACATGCAGCATTCAAAGAGCAGTAAAACAAGAAAGTCGTGAACAGTGCCCAGCGACTGTAGCAGGCTGCAATGGAGACCAGGCAGCAGACACCATCATAAAAGGCAACTGAGGGGAACCAGCTGAAACAACAGATAAAGGTCATCAATACTCTGCTGAAGAAAGAAGAAAATAGAGTAGAAAGGCCAGCAGCTACATTAAACAAGCTGTGCACTTGAACAGTGCATTCCTGTCAACGAAAAACTTCAAGGCACAGGAGACCCCCAGCAACATGATCCATCCCAAAGCAAATGTCCCCAGAACCAGCATAGCAAACAACGATTAACCATGATCATCATGTATAAGGGCACCCCAGTACACAGAACAGGCAACAGCTCCTGCCTCATCCACAAACGTAGAACATTCCTAGCACATATCATTTGAACCTAAGCCACAACAAGAAGCTGCCAAGCTTGAAGGAGTGACAAGTTTTTGGGGGAACTCTTGAATTTGATTGTGACTAATCTATCTTTGATGATTTGCAAGACACACTTCACAAGACTTCTACAATCCCTAAACTGGTTTGTATGGAGTCTTCCATTCCTTTCCTTCCATATTATATACACAGTAGTTGCCAAGCATAGCTTCTTTAACACCTTACCAAGTGACTTACCTTTCCAACTTTGACTTGCATAATCGATGAAATTCTACCAAGAGCTCGGTAGACCTTGTTCACCACACAGTTGCATAATAAAAATCCAAATATCTTGTGAGAACTGGCAACTAAAAAAGAGGTGAGAATGAGATTCCATGTCATGCCTATATAGGATACATGTCACACCAACATCCGGCGCAAATTTTTGCATTCTATCTTTAGTGCTAAGCCTTTCCTTTATTGCTAGCCAAAGAATGAAGCTCATCCTGGGTATGCATTGTCCATACCATAGCAGATGGTGCCAAGGTACCTCTTGCCCAAGGGCCCTAAGGTGATTCCAAGTCGAATAAGAAGAAAATTGCCCATTTGTTGCCATAGACCACTTCACCTGGTCTTCCTTATTTGTCATAGGAATATATGTAGGCATATGATTTGAAATCTCCAAGAGATCAGGTGTACCTGTGGAAGGCCATGACCACCTATTGTTGCCCACGATTGCAACCACGTTAGCATCCTTAGGTAACCATACATGATCGATAACATTATCACTCCATCTAAATAGAAGAGGACTATGAGGGTGCCAATTATCCAACCAAAGGCTAGTACTCTCTCCATTACCAATAAAAAGTTGAATTAGAGGTCTAACTATTGGTCTCAGTTTCAAGAGGTTCAGCCAATTCCAAGAGCAAGAGTGAGGTGGCTTAACTTCCCAGATGCTTTTCTCTCTTAAATGGTAAGAATGAATCCATTTCACCTAGAGACTTTCTTTGTCCGTAAATAAAATCTACAAATACCTCATCATCATTGCCATATTCGTTTCCTTAAGTCTTCTAATCCCCAATCCCCCTTCTTTCTTAGGTCTGCAAATCTCCATCTAGACTACTTTGGCTCCAGTAGGCTTGAGATCAATCCCCTTCCAAAGGAATGATCTAAGCATTCTTTCCAATTTATCGAGAACCTGTTGGGGAATAAAAATGTGGACTGACCAGAAATTTTGGGTGCTATTGAGCACAAAGGTAATCAATTGAAACCTTCCAGCAAAGGATAGAAACCTGTTGGTCCAATTTTTCACCCTAGCCTCCATTAATTCCATTAGAGCATCACAATATTGTCTCTTGAATCTAGTGGACACCAAGGGGATCCCCAAATATCTCACAGGAAGAGCACCAATTTGGAATCTCAGAATATTAGTAATCTGACCTTTTGCTTATTAGAAATAGAAAAGTTTGGATTGATTGACCAAGCGAATTTTCTGCTTCATTTCAGATTTTCGATGGATTTTGGCACTAGTTTAGTTCTTTATTTATTTTTGTTTTCAAACACTTGGTTTTTTTTATACAACTTAAAAATACCACCAAGTGGCCTTGAAAAGATTCCATTAACTAAATGACAAGTTCTAGTTGATGGTTCCCTTTCATCAACTGATACATCGCTTTGAGTGCACAAGAGTTCTTATGAGAGTTAAATGACGACTGTACTAATTTAAACCTAAACGATGGGAAAATAGATAGCATTACTCATAATAAAATCAAAAACAGAACCCCATCCCTCTGCCTAGCCCCCCTCCCCCCTTCTCTCATCAAAAAAAAAACAGACCCTCTAACCCCTCCCTGCATCACCACTTGACAACCCTCCCACCATTTTCTCCTCACCTATGGTTAAAAGCCCCACCCTTGGGCGACCCAATCCCTCTGCCCTTCCAACAGCAAAGTGGGTCGCAGTGAAAAAGAATTCTCTGTGCAACGATTTGCACTGAAAAAAAAAATGCAGCAAAGAAAAAATATAGTTCGCCACAATGAAGAAAAAGACCATATTACAACGAGAAGGACGACAAAGGACCAGTTAGACTTTTTGTTTTAATTTCAATTTCTATTTCAAGATTAGTCTGCAATTACAAATTGTGAATTGTTGTGAACTACTGGTTTTTGATGAGTTATGGTGAGTTTAACGAGTGGTTGTGATTTATTTGTGATGTCCTACTGGTAGTTGATGAGTTATGGTGAGTTTAATGAGTAGTTGTGATTTATGGGTGATGGTCTACTAGTTGTTGATGAGTTATGGTGAGTTTAATGAGTAGTTGTGCCTTATTGGTGATGGCCAATGATAAGTGGCTCAGTGGTGATGCACAGTAGGTAAAGATGTAATGGGATTGGAGAAGATGTGTTTTAAAGTTTATGTAGATTTTAAGGAGGGCAAGGTGGACTTTTTGCCTCTGTCGCTAACAATGTTTGTTGTGCATTTTAGTCCAAAAGTACAAGGAAATTATGTGCTTATTTTGGAATTACGAGAAGGTGATGTGCAAAACGACCAAACCACAAAGGAATAAATTTGAATTTGCCCTAATATATATTATCAAAATATTAAAATTCTAAAAAGTTTAAATTTTACTTAAAAATACACTACAACATCTATTTTTACATCAAATTTTATTACGACTTAAAAAATTTATTTTGACTGAAAAATTATACTAAACTACTGGTTGTTGATGAGTTATGGTGAGTTTAATGAGTAGTTGTGATTTATTGGTGATGGCCTACTGATTGTTGATGAGTTTTGGTGAGTTTAATGAATAGTTGTAATTTATTGGTGATGGTTAATGATTGGTGATTCAATGGTGGTGCACAGTAAGCGAAGATGTAGTGGGATCGGAGAAGATGTGTTTTTAAAGTTTATGTAGATTTTAAGGAGGAGAAGGTGGCCTTTTTGTCATTGTTTCTAACATTGTTTGTTGTGTATTTTAGTCCAAAAGTACAAGGAGATTATGTGCTTATTTTGAACTAAGAGGAGGGGATGTGCAAAACGACCAAATCACAAAGGAGTGAATTTGAATTTGCCCTAATATATATTATCAAAAATATTAAAAATCTAAAAAGTTTAAGTTTTACTTAAAAATACACTATAATATCTATTTTTACATCAAATTTTATTATAACTTAGGAAGTTTATTGTGACTGAAAAATTATACTAATGTGAAATAAATTAATTTTAAAAAATTATATATATGATTATTTTTTATCTTAGAAATGAAAAGATTAAACTTTTCGATAAAATATATATATATACACACACACATAATGTTATTTTTGCTTATGAGATGAGTAATATTAGATTGAAGAAATATTTGAATTTTTTTTAACACTTTTATTGAAAATATAATTATGCATATTTTTTAGGGGTAATGTAATTAATCAATTTTTTTTATAGAAACTGATAATTGTATTTAAAGAATAGATAATTAAAAGCGGTGTTATAGATAATTTAGAGATTTAAAAATATATGAATATGGTAATAAATTAGATATTTAAATGTGAAAGGATAGAGTTGTCTTTGTAATTCCTTATAAGGGTAAAATAGATATTCAAAAAAAAAATTCTCTTAAGGTACTTTTATTAATAACTAGCAATGCACCATGTGCATGTATATGGATAAATTAATGTTGTACACAAAAATTAATAAAATATATTAGATATATGTATATATGAATTAAATATCATGTTAAATTTACTAAACTTAATTTTGTATTGCTCATATTCGATTACAGTATTTTGAAAATTTATTCTAATTATCAAAAAAATAAAATAAAAAAATAGTTAAAGTTCTTTTTTTTAAGAATTTTATGATTGAGAGTGATATTTTAGTAATGTTTGAGAAATTAAATTTTTTTAAATTCATTTGTTTAGAATTCCACTTATAATTCTTTGAATAGAATAAAAGCACTACTCTATAATATATATTATAAAGCATACTATAATTTTAAAAAAATTCAAGTTTTATTTAAAATATACTACAATATATTTTCACATAAAATCTCAATAGAACATAGAAAGTTTATCATGATTGAATAATTGCACTTATGTAATATAAACTAATTTAAAAAAAATTACATATATGATTATTTTTTTATCTTAGAAATGAAAGTGTTAAACTTTTGATAAAAAAATAATATATATATATATATATATATATATATATATATATATATATATATATATATATATATAGGCATAATGTTATATTTGCATAAAAGATGAGTAATATTAGATTGATGAATTTTTTGAAGGTTTTTTGAACACTTTATTGAAAATATAATGATGCATATTTTTTAAGGGTAATATAGTCAATTGAAAAATTACATAAAAATTGATATTTATTCATAAAGAATAGATCATTAAAATAGATCTTTGAGGTAATTTGGAGATTTAGACACATAAGGATATGATGATAATTTAAATATTTAATTGTGAAATGATAGAATAGTTTTTACAATTCTTTATAAGGGTAAAATAGAAAATCAAAAGTTTTTTTTGTTAAAGTACTTTTATTAGTAGTATAGGTATAGATATAAGTTCATCTAGGAAATATACATGTGTGTGTGTTTCGGCTTATTTTCTGCACCTTCTAGAATAGGTCGTAATATTATCCAATGATCTACATTAATATAGAATTAAAAAGTCAAATAATAAAGAGGTTGTAACTAACCTGTAAAAAGTGAAAACAAAGAACCGTAGGTTGGATGATATTTAAACTGTTTCATTAATGATTTCTGGGTAGATGCATACATTGTTTTCCACACACATGCATAGTTGCAGCGTGTTTACATTCATAGACTACGAACCTAATGGACTACATCGATGTTTATTCAACAGTAGAGAATTTTTTATGGACAACTATATTTTATACTATTGGGGAAGGGGAGGGGGACTCGAACCATTAACATACCACTTCATTATGGAGGGCTCCAACCATTTAGTGGTATAGTTGAGAATCAAAGTCTATCTATAAGATCAGTGAACACTATGGATTAAATATAAGATAAATCGTCTATCTTCAATCAAATATGATATAGGATTTCTTCTCATATATTTGACAAATGTTGATTGTAACTCATGATGGTTGTTCATTTAATGTTACGAATTTTGCATAATGGTTATGTATTTGACACTTCTAATTTTAATTTGAACTGTTTATGATTTTTATTGTTTTTCAAATGTACATACATGTATGAGATTGAATGAATGAAAACAAGAATAACCTTTGACATAAGGCATTATTGTTAGACCTTATTATATATATACTTCTCAATTAAAGATCACGTTAGACAAACTGCTAATGTTGTGGTACATGGAAGGAACTATGTCACGTTAATGATGTACGACAGTATTTGGACTTAGAATATAAAATTAGAAGAACATTCGATGCATAGGTAACTTTCAAGCCTGAAGACATTAAAGAATTGCCACGTGTCAGAATCTGAAAAAAAGGTGGGACATGATCAGTCATGGCATTGTTTGAAAAAAGAGAGTAACTATATGGGAGTTGTATGTCAATTAACCGTCGATAGATAGAGAAATCGTCAAAGAGAGTGGTTATAAAAGGCGAACAAGAAAAAAATGAAATAACAACTCAAATTCCCCACAAGAACCACAATTATTGCATTTAGGACTAGTGTTAAAGTTGATTTTATGAAATAGTGAGTGTTGTAATCAAATGTTGTCAATTTTAAAGCAACAATCTTTTGGCATCCCAAGTGGGATAACATTCTGAATTTGAACCAAAGAAAATGGTGCACAAAGCGTAATTATATGTGTGTGTATGTGTACACAGAGTGATTGTGTGTGTGTGCAGTCTGTGTGCACGTGTGTGCACAAAGAGTATATGTGTTTGTCTGTGAATTTGTGCACAGAGTGTTTGTGTGTGTGCATAGAGTGTGTGCAATGCGTGTGTGTGTGTAATTTTGTATGTATGTGTATTACTTAAGACAAGAAAGAAGACTTATATGTGTCGCTCGCTGAAGACGACAATCAAGACGACAAGGATGATATTTAGGTTAGGAATTTTGAAAAAAAGAATAATTTGAGTTTTAATAGAATTGTTAAGTATTTTGAGATAAAATTGTTATTTTATAAATATTATTAAAGATAATTTTATTGAGTGTTTTTAACTTTCAGAATTAAATAAATGGTTTCTTACTTAATATTATAACTTATTTTTAAGGAGTAGTTAATGTATTAAGATATTGAAATTTTAGTTATCAAACGAACTTAATTCATTTTAAGTGTTAAATTTGGATTAAAAAACACACCATGAATCAATGACTTTTTTTTGTTGTTGATAAACTTGGCACTCCCCACCACTCAAGCTCATTTGGAATCGTTGTCAGTAGTCAATTTTGGTTCAAGCGTAAAACTTTTTTTTCACACGCAAGGATTAAATTTAGATAAGGTGATCCCAAGGAATACCGATTCCGCGTGTCCTTGGTCACTTATAAGTGTTGGGAATTGGGGGAAGTAGCACAAGGGCGAAGATCAGAGAGGGAGAGAGAGAGTCAGTGTGTTGACAATGAGTGATTCCGAATCGCCGGTGACATTGCCGACACACGTCGCCTTCAAGGGCGCTAATGGCAAATATCTCAGCGCCCAGTCGATCAACGGACACATATATTTGAAGTTCTCATCCGATCACATTGGAGATGGAACGGTGAAAAACGAGATTGTCCCCTTTCCCGATGGGCATCCGCATAAGGAATAATTTCGTCAACAAATTTTGGAGGCGCGCCACCTCTAATTGTATCGGGGCTGACTCAGATGACACCTCCAGCAGCGACCAAGACACCTTGTTCAGGCCGTACAATGTCAACGACATTGGGATCGCTCTCCGCAACTTGGTTAATCAAAATTTCTGCGAGGGCAAGGAAAACTGTCTCCATGCCGATAGCTCCACGATAACGCTTATGGCATACCTGGAGATGAATTTTTAACGACAACGATTCAAGACTTCTTGAGTGTGTGTTTTAATTTCCATCATGCATTGTAAGGTTTAAAATAAGAGATGTTTGTGTTTTATTTAAGTTGTCATGTCTGTTGTTTATGTTTGTTTGTTTTTGTTTATATAATTATATTTACCGTGTATATAATAAACAACATCAAAGTCTTTAGCCGAGAGACTGGAACAACATAGTTCTTTTTTCGGTCTTTAGGCAATTGCTGGAGAATAGGGTCACCTGCAACACAATTTTTGATTAGCTTATAAAATCGTAAAGGGCACCTTTAAATCTCAAAGCCTCATATAATTAGGTCTCCCGATACTAAACTTCCAAAACCAAAAAAGTTAGAAATGAATTGTTGAATTAGCAGCAACCAAAGGGCCCATGTAAATTTCTGATAGCATATATACTAAAAAAAAAATAATTGAGCACTGCATTTGACATGCAATTCCAAAGGCTCTTTGACTCGAAACGCATAACAAAATCTTCCTATAACAATTTGTGAAGGGGAGTTGCTATTTTTCTCCGTCTATTAGTTACTCCATAGACATACACTGATACACATTTCTCTATTCTACAGCAATGTGACTACAAATCTATAGAGGCCTCCAAAATATACAACGTCAAGAAAACCAATGCCCAGAAAAATAACAAATTAGGCACTATTATTACCAAAAACAAAATTTTAAGGCAAACCCATCTTGAAGGCAATACAAAAAAAAAAAAAAGAACTGTGTAATGAAGCCATATCAAGTACAGCAAAACAAATCAATGAAACTATGAATACAGTCGGAAACAATTGAAATTCAAAATAGAAATTCTCAAAACTTTCCAAAATCTTGACAACTTTCCTAATCAATTCCTATATCTGGAAGTGATGTTGGTCTTCTCAATGGAGAAAAAGGGACTTGCTTGGTACAGAAACCTTAAAGTGTCTACTTATTACTGCAAGTTCTTTAATCTTAATTTGAAGAATCTGCAATACCAGACACATTGGGACAATCCTACAATAAAGTTGCATTACAATGCATCTGCAAAATCATTTTCAATTTGGATTGTGGTTCAACAATCACACAAAACAAAAATTAGTTTCAGAACAAACAAAAATTTCACCAATCTATAATACAAAACAAAACAAAAATCAATTTTCAGAAACTAAAAAAATTACCTACATGCTTGACGGTAAGCTTCGTTGGGTGAATCCGAGACCCCTTGCAAAATTAACGGAAATACTTGCACACATTAGAAAGAAATCCTAGGAAAATAGGTAGAGATTGAAATAGAAAAGAGAGTGAGAGCGTGCATGGGTGTGAAAAAACAGAGGGCATCCGTTGGGGGGTGAGGGGGTTAGCTATGCCAAAAGACATAGAGGAGAGAGGGAAAAATACCTAAGACCCAAGGAAGAGAGGGTGGTACAGGTGTTATGGCTGATGGAGAGGATGAGGCTACAGCTATGGCGGTGGTGTTTCCGTGTTGTTCGACAATGGGGGAGAGAGAGAGAGAGAGATTAGGGGCCCATTTGGTTTGCGTTTCAAAAAGTAGTATTCGAAAACAATTTTTGAAAAGAGTTTTAAGAAAGTGTTTTTAAAAATTTTTAGATTACAAAACCTGTTTGGTTATATATTTTTGAAAATAGTTTTAAAAAACAAAAATTATAAAATTTGTTTGGACAATATTTACAATGCCCACCTCTCTTTCTTTTCCCTCTCTCTATCTCCACAAAACACACTCACACACGCGCAGACACACACACAAACACAAACACGCAGATACAAAACACAAACACACGCAGACACACAGATCTATAGTTGTTGCGAGATAGAGAGGCAGACATTGGGCAATGAAGAGAGAGAGGCACACGCTGGCCAGTGAAGAGAGAAAGAGGCAAACAAAAAAGAAAACGTGGGGCAGTGAAGCACAATGAAGACACTGGAGAAGAAGAGCTAGGCAAAGTGGAGAGAGGGAGAGAAAAAAAAGAAGAAGAAGACGATGTTGTTTGTTGTTAAGGGGACTCGAAGGTTAGACCTCATTTATCTTGTTTAGCATGTCTCCGTGTTTCCAAAATTTTCAAAGAAAACTGTGAAAACAAATTTAACTTGTTTTCTATTTTTGCGCTCCAAATCTCATTTTTTTTCAAAAATTTTGAGAACAAAAATGATAAGCAAACAGGTTTTGGATATTTTTGAAATTTTGAAAACAAAAAACTGTTTTGTAGATAATAACCAAACATGCCCTAGGTTCCTCTTGCATTTAGTTTTCTGGGGTAACACTTAGCTAAAATCACAAAATTCAAATAGAACCACAAAAAAAAAAAGATTAGGTTAACTCTTTTGCAAACATTTGAAAACCCACAAAATATAAACAAAAAAATAAAACCCAAAATATCAAGAAAGTGAATACCCAAATATAGGCAATCTTGGATGTTCCATAGAAAATAGGTATGGGTTGGATGCATGTTTGTGCAGGTGTTTGTGCAGGTGTTTGCACAAATATGTTTGTGTGTGTAAGTGTGTGTGTTGTGTACTTTGTGTGCGATGGGTGTGTGTGTGTTTTGTAGAGAGAAAGGGATGGCAAAGTGATAAGACACAAATGGGGGGGAAAATTTTTGGATTTTTATTACTCATCAGTATATCTCGAACTATAATTTAACACAAATGAATCAACAACAAAACATATTATAATTACCTCAGGCTTTGTGCACATACCCAACTCACCAGTGAGAAGTATGTTGATTGACCATTTCTTTTGGTGCATAACAAAACATCAATAATCTTATGGTTGGACTTTATAAATAAAAAAGACCACACCCAAACACATGACATGTATAAGAAAAAGTGTAAATACTTAGACCCAATATGCTAAAGAAGAACACAGGCAAAGTCCATTCGACTAAACTAAATAATTAAAACAAAGGCAAAGTTCAAATGCAAACATTCAAATACTAGAATTTCAAATGAAAATTGAATTGCAGAAGAAATTATCAATCTAAATACGATTGCAGCCAATATTGAGAAACAACTCACTTGAGTTGTTCTATAGAGTATTTAGTGTACCACTCAATAGTTTTAGTCCATTACTAACTACTTAGACCTGCAAAGACTACACTGCGCAATGTAAATTATAGTTGCAGTTAATAAGAATGGCGGAAGCTTGAGCATTTCATACTCCACCAAGAAAAGCTCAATGATGAGGAAGGACTGAAGCTCGAGCTAAGTCAATATAGTTGATCACATCACATAACATCATTAAAGTTGTTTTACCATATAAAAATGGGCCTAAAATGCATCTAAATTCAGGTAAAATCCTAATGCTAACAATTTAATAATATTGAACTGCCTTAAGGAATCAAATAAGTTTAACTTATAATTATACACATTATAAGCCAAAAAAAAGAGGCAAAATTATGCTTTATCTTGAAAAAACAAAAAGAAGGAAAAGTAATAAAAGACCTATAATGAGCAAAAAAATTAAAAGAATAAAAATAGTGGCACCTCCCCTGAGGAAGAACACCCTTCTTATAAACCATACCATAGCTACATACATCGCCAGTGGTGACCACTACACAAAACCTTCAACCTTAAAAAGCCAAATGAAATCTAATTCAGCCACTCAAAAGATTAAGGAACAACAACAATATTATCTTGCTAAACCCTCTGCCAACTCCCACCCCTAATCTTTCTTATCACATGTCTCTTAAGTTAAACACCGGTCATCATCCTTCATACTTCTAAAAGTGGAAACACTTGAGACATGCGAAGTGGGTGGAGAATACAGTTGCTTAGAGCATGTGGCTCATAATCTTACTTTCGTTGTTTTTGCTCAATCGTCTCAATCACCTTCAAGGAGTATATTTTTGAATTAAAATACCCATTAAAGCAGATGTTAATTAGCAAAAAAAGAAAGAAATACCCAACTATAGAACACAGGTAGCTTCAATAAAAACATTTAAATGATTAAGGTTCCAGCAAATATTCGAGACAACCTAAACTAACATCTGAAAACATCAATTTATCGCACACCTTCATTTCCAAATACAGATATCGTAAGTTTTCTCTTGATTACAAATAGGCATACATAAGCGACTCTTCAACAAATGTTCCACAATAATTTTGGTGTGTGTGTATGTGTGCACGTGGATGTATGGAGCAAATTTAAAAGAAAGAGATGTAGCATGTTAAAAAAAAATTGCTAAGGAAAAATTGAAGGCTAATGACAACACAAAAGAGCAAAAAAGCTCAATAGAAAACTATGAACAAAAAAATTGAGAATTTAGCAAAATAGCAACCATGTTACAACGGGAAAAAAAAATTACCAAAATAACAAAGAAAATTACCCCTACAACTCCCAAAATAATAGAAGAAACAAAAATTTAGTTTTTCAGACAAATAATTGACCAAACCCCAAGAATTCAATTGGAGCAAAACATAGCTCAACCCAAGCTATCAAAGAATGTCCACCTTGTGACTGGCCTCCAATCAGTTGTGCAATTAAGTTTGTCCCATCCTCTTTCATGCTAAGTTGCAAAGAACAAATCAATGTCAAAAAAAAAAAAAAATTTGCCACAAAAAAAATTAATTCAGGAAAATAGATGGTAAAATGAACAAACAAATGAGAGAAAAATGAACAAATGAAGTGGTTCGACAAATAATATTAAGCTAATAAACCGCATTCGGTCAAACCTAATTGCAGTTGGAATCAATTGCTTGATCTGAGGCTCCGTAGCTCTTTGAGGAATTTCGTCAAACATGTGGTGGTGTTGGTTGCTGGCCGGTGGTCTTAGAAACAATTCAATTCATAAGCCCCATTTGACACAAATTAAAGTTCATCCATGATTAATGGAACCTTAATGGAGTTGGAAATATGACCTTAAAGGAGCCTTCGAGCTTTTTTTGACGCTTCAATGGCTTCTCATTAGACGAACGTCCTCAAATTAAAGACTAAAGCAAAATATTCAAAAATTCATTATACTCGCAACAAAAGAAAAGAGGCTGGTGTGTGTGAGAGTTGATATTTGGTCGCTGGCGCCGCCGCTAGCATCGTCGATGGTGGCTGGTTGGTAAGGTCAGGGTTTAGCATCGAGGTCCTCGTAGGTGGCTGGCTGGCGGCATCAAGATCTGAGATCAAAGAGAGAGAGGAGGAAGGGTTTGTGGCTGTGGTAAACAACTGTGGGTGGCGTTTGTGAGTGGTTGTGTTTGGTGTCGGTGGCTGGGCAGAGGGAGAGAGAGAGAGAGGGATTATTTGAGACCGTACGCCGTACCTGGTGTTGTCGTCCTCTTTTATATTAGAGATATATATTTTATGTGTTTTTTGTGCAACTTAATTTGATACAACCACCTAGGGCCGGCCCTACATCTAGGCCATTAAGATGCCCACCAAGGCTCCAATTTTCTAGGTTCTGCTGTCTTGTTTCAAGATTTTTTTAGAAGATAATCTTTATTTTTTAGAATAAATATATTTTTATTAATTCAAACGAGTAAGTTTTTGTTACAGAGTGATTAATTTGATAGCTTTTGATTGTAATATTAATTATTTCTTAAAAATTAACTCAAACATTACTTCTAAATGTCCTGCTGGTGGTTGCGGGGAGTTTGACTTGTTATTTTGTTTCTCTTCTTTTTCTCTTTTGTAGTCACTCTCAATTTTTTTTTATTGACTGTTATTTGGTTTCAGAATTTCTAGGCAATTGTTTTTTCTATCAAAGTAGAGTTGTGACTAGTGTTTTTTATGGGACATTTTTGTAGTCACTCTCAATTTTTTTTTTATTGACTGTTATTTGGTTTCAGAATTTCTAGGCAATTGTTTTTTCTATCAAAGTAGAGTTGTGACTAGTGTTTTTTATGGGACATTTTTGAAATACTCCTAGATGAAGACACGTATCCTCGGTGTCACTAATCTTTTGTTATTGAGATCACGTACTCATCGGTTCACAAGTCCCTCTCCCCTAAGGTACTTGTCATAGGGATCAAGTGACATCCAGTACGTTTACGTACCGACACGTATCCGTCGGTCTGATATGGTACATCAGTCGCTATATGTACCTCCCCTCTCGGCTCTGAGATGTACCAATCCCCCTCGGTACCGAGATGTACCAACGTCCAGGATAGCATTCTATTCTCCTGCAGAGCTATTGATGTACAGGTCACTAGTCTAGGCTAGACTAGGTCAGCCATCATGACCTCGTCTTACACAATTGGTGTCAGAAGGCATAGGAAGGCAGGGGACACAGCCAATGGGGAATGAACGCGTGGCATATTGTGTCACATCAGAGACAGAAAGACCGGATGTTCTTGCTGACACACGACTTGGGAAAGCAAGCATTTAATTACACCATTTCCCTTGATGAGACAGCATTTAATGCGGTAAGGCTCGGAAGTGAAAGGTAATAAATGTCTCTAAGGCTGGACATTTATTACATCCTCCCCGAGAGGAGCTCATTGAACAGTCGGCAAACCGATGACACAGCCTTAGTTGCTCGGGGTCCCGAGCAGTTAAAAGAGAAGACATTCCTCATAGGAAATCGTGCACACGTTGCATGTACCTAATGATCACCTACTGACCACACTGACAACAATCATTAATTTTTGAGGTATAAATACTCCTCGCAAAAGGTAAGACGGTATGCAACGAAAAACCTTTGCAACAAATTATACTCAGTGTTTTCTTTTTCCTCTCTCTCTCAAAAACTGACTTGATCGTCGGAGGGGATACGCCAGAAAATACTCCGGCGCCCTTCTAACTTGTCTTTCTTTGTTCCAGGAACCTTCCTCAGCCTCACTGGATCGTTCCATTGATCCACGAGGGTCTCTCATTACCGTTTCAGGTTAGCACCGGACCTCACAGGCTGTTCCAAGCAGCAGGGTTGACCATTTGACTGACTCACTCGAGTTCACCAAGGAAGAGATCTGTTCTCGTGTTTATATTGTGCAAGATCCAGCACGCACAATCTGGCACCGTCTGTAGGAAACAACTAGTTTTCCTAGTTTTTTCTCTATAAAGAACAGTGACCATGGTGAACACTCGACAAAAAGGAAAAGGTCCCCAACAAAGAAGTCTCGAATTACAAGCTCCATGTCACCATGGAGGGAGGGACCACACTGATGGGAATAAAAATGCCTCTATTCAGTTAAGAGGGGTTACCCCTCAAACCAGTATGGGCATCAGGTCAGGCGGATCCGCCCCCTTGGCTCGTCAACTAGCGGAGGTGATCGAAAAAAAGTTTGGGGATCGATTACGACAGTTGGAAAAGGACAATGTTAACGTCCCAAGTCGGCTTAACGAATTCGTCGCCTCCGACGAAGGGTCGGGGACTCATTCCTTTCTCGTGGGCTTCCCGCCCGGGAGGCGGAAACGAAGGATCTAAGGAATCATCTAAACAACAAGGCAGAAAGCTCCAGGGCCCCAAAGCGACCGAGAGCCAACGAGCACCCTCTTAACGACCATTCCAGGAAGGCAAGGCCTTTAGCCCTGGACGACCTCCGGCGAAGATTGTCGAGACGGAGGAAGAGAGATGAGTCCGAGGAGGATTCAACCCTATCCACACGGCGCCCAGAAAATGGGGGGCCTATTGATGAACTCAAGGACTTCAGAAGACATCCCGTTGGGGAGAAAATTGATCTTAGAGCCCGGTTGGAATCCAAGAGAAAGAGTAAGGCTGTCCAAGATAAGGTCGAAGACGAGGTCATACAAACACCCTTTACCAGGGAGATCGGAGAGATGGAGGTTCCAAGAAAGTTCGTCGTGCCGAGGTTCAAAACTTATGACAGGCGGTCCGATCCCGAAGCCCATCTCAGGCAATACAAGCAAATGATGTCCCTATATCATTCAGACCAACGGTTCCTCTGCCGAGTGTTTCCTATGAGCTTGGGGGACTCTGCGATGAAGTGGTTCGAGGCGCTTTCCCCCAACAGCATTGGATCGTGGAAGGAATTGATGAGGCAGTTCCTAGCTCGATTTATTATGGGGAGTAAGCGGCCTAAAGACGTTGGATCATTGCTAACGCTCAGACGTAGGGAATTCGAGACCCTTCGCCAGTATGTCATCCGGTACTGGGAAGAGGTTAATGAGGTAGAAGGCTGCTCGAAAGTCATGGCAGCGACGTCTTTCAGGCTCGGCTTGGCAAGGGATACGGACCTGTACCGATCCCTGACCAAAAAGACTCCCTCAGATATGGGCGAGCTAATGGCCCGGATAAATAAGTACTCAAGGATCGAGGACGAGATGGGAAGCAGCAAAAGTCAAACCCTCCAATCTAAGAGAAAAGAGAGGGAGCGGGAGGATACTCCCCGAAAGGGACTACTACCCCCTCCGGGGGGTCGTTCAAAAGAGTTCACACTATGTTCAAGGAACCCATCTTCAAGTTGCTCCACAAGATAAAACATGAGTCATTCTTCAAGTGGTCGTCCAAGATGCAGAGCGATCCCTCCACCCGTGATCAAAAGGTTAGCTGTTCCTATCACCGGAATTTCAGACATCGCACTGAAAGTTGCAGGGTATACAAATTGTTCTTGGAAAGATTGGTCCGAGACAGATACTTGAAAGAATACATAGAGCCCAGGCCGGAAGAAAGACAAACCCTTGCCCCGATCGAGGAGTCGGACAACGTCATAGATGTCATCCATGTATGTCCGCTAGATCGCCCCACGTCCAAGGAACTCGAGTCCGATCTCAAGAGGGTAGCTTTTACAAAGAAGGTAGTCGAGGATGATGGGGGGCCACCCAGTAAAAGGGTCAGGACTGGTGAGCCCAACATCACGTTCTCCGACGCGGACTTGATAGGCGTGGTGATTCCTCATAACGATGCCCTTGTCTTAACCCTGAAGATAGGTAAGTTCGACGTCAAGAGGGTGTTGATAGACTCCGGAAGTTCCTCGGAAGTGATGTACTTTGACACTTTAAAACGGATGGGTCTTGGCCTCAAGGACCTCACCAAGGTCAGGACACCCCTCATCGGATTCAACGGATCGCTCGCCCTGCCCATAGGCAAAAACACATTGCCAATTGTCACAGGTCCCTTCATCATCAACACCGAGTTTGTCGTGATTGATATGGACTCTCCCTACAATGTGATCATGGGACGAGCATGGTTGTATGCGTTGGGAGCGGTGCACTCCACTTATCACAAGAAACTGAAATTCGCCACGCCAGAGGGGATCATGGAGATCCGAGGGAACCAAGCGTCCGCAAAAAATTATTTTTACTCAGCTGTTAGAGCCGGGGCTTTCACCCAAAAAAAGGGGGCGAGCTCCGGAAGAGATCATGAAAAAATAACAATCATAGTCTGGACGTCCAGGAATGGATGACCCCCAGATTGACTCGACGGAACGGTCGGTGGAGGACCTCCGGAAGGTGCCCTTGGTGGAGGGAGAAGAAGAAAGACACTTTTTAGTTGGAACTGCAATGCCCACAGTCGAACAGGAAAAGATGATAGAGTTCCTGAGGAGAAATGCAGACGTGTTCGCTTGGAACGTAATGGAAATGACGGGAGTAGACCTCGAGATAATCACGCACAAGCTG